CCCCAGCCTCACCTGCAGCTTCTCGCACGGCTTCTTCCACCGGCAGCCCCGGCAGCTGCCGCAGGACAGGCCCTGGCCCTTGCCCTTGCCCTTGACCTGAGCGCCCTTGGCGCTAGCAACCACGGCGCCCTTGGACGGCCCGCCCCCGCTGCCGCCCCTGGCCCCGACACCGCCCCCGCCCCCCGTGTCGACAGAGCCGCCGCCCTGCGCACCACCACTGCCGCCTCGGCTGCTCTCAGCACGACCGCTGCCGTCGGCGCTTGGGCTGTTAGCCAGCAGCTGCGCCTCAGCATCGGGCTGCGCGGCGCTTCTCGAGCGCTTCTGTGGCGGCTCCGATGCGACGGTGGCTGACGCCCGCCGCCGCTGCCCCGCCAGCTGCGCCTGCTGCTTCTGCTGCTGCTGCTCCTGCGCCGCCTGCTGCTGCCGCCGCCCGGCCCGCCCCTGCTGGTTTTTATCGTCCGCGCCCTCGCCGCTGCTGCCTGCCGCCAGCTCCCGGCCGTCCTCCTGCTCTTTCTCCGCCCCCCCTGGCCCTCGCGGCGTGCCTGCGCCCACACCGTCCTCTGCTGCCTTCCTCTGCTGGCCCAGAGGCCTGCGGGGGGCACGCGGCGCCGGGGGGTCCCCTCCATCCTGGGCCAGGGCGAGCCCCAGGAGGCGCTGGCAGAAGGGGTAGGCCGCCCCTGTGCACGCCTCCTTGGCCATGGCTGCGGTGGAGGGTGGCGAGGATACGGTATGCACCAAACAGGGGTTGTTGGGGATGCAAGGAGCGTCGTCGCGCTGACACCCGTCGTTTGCTAGGCAGTAATGCGCGTGCCAGACGCCGAGCCACAACCCGCAAGTCAGTGCTGCCTGCAGGCGCTCTCCAACCCGTGACAAACACAAGCGCGGCCCCCTGCCTTAATCAAGACAGCAACCGTGCGCCTCCCCTCACCTATCGGCTGCCGCAGGAAGTCCTCAGACAGGTGGCCCAGCAGCGAGAGCAGCGCCGCCAGCGCGTCGAGGCTGCCGCCCGGCGACACCGCCCGCGGGTCCGGGAGGTGGCCCAGCCCGCGGTCGACCACGGCCCGCAGCTTCATGCTGCCGCGCGCCGCCGCCGCCAGCAGCGCAGCCTCGGTCGGGGGCCGCGGCAGGGGCGCGGGGGGCGCCGCGGACGCGGGCGCCGCGCGCAGTACGCCCTCGCTGCCGGACGGGTCCTGCTGCAGGCGCGCGGCCCAGAGGCGCGGGGCTGACATGGCGGG